GCTCGGCAGGCTCCTCATGGCGCGCTCGGTTCCGCCATTCATTCATTCAGTCAGTCGTCGGTCAGTCATCTTCTCCTCCCTGCACTCGGACCAGGGAAACCGCCGCAGCCGCCACCGCCACGGCCACCCGGCGCACCATCGCCACCTCCCTCTGACAGGCGGCCGGCCCCGCGGGCGGGCCCCAGCACAGACAGAGAGACACGGCCGAGAGCGGACAGCCCGCCCTCTCCGATTGGCAGCTTCGTCCGACCAATGAAAGGCCACGCAATCCCACGTGACCCATCCGCTCCCCAGCCTCTTTGTAGCCTCACGGACCAATCAGAGGGCGTCAAGGAGCGGGGGCGGTGCTAAAGCTGGAGGAGGGTGGAGAGAGCCCAGCTCCAGCGGATTCGACTCGCGGCAGCGCTGCTTTGTCTGCCCGAGGAGCGGGGCGCGGGCCTCGGGCACCGGGCGCCGCGGAGCAGACAAAGGACGCGCCCCATGCGGCAGGCGCCGGGCCAAGCCGTCTGCTCCTTTGGGCGGCGAGCGCAACCTGGGGCGGGGAATCGGCCCTCGGGAGCTTCCCCGCCCTCTTGAACAATGGGGCGCCGAGCCGCTCCAGGGTGGGGACTGGGCTGGAACCCCCGAGATGGGCGAGGGCGACTGCAGCGAGGATGTGGAGTTCAGCATTGCCTCTGCTGCCCAAGAGAGCCTGACCTCGGCCCTGCGAGGTCTGCGCTGCCATTCCCATTTCAGAGATGGGGAAACTGAGGCCCGTGCTAAAGGCCTGACTGAACTAAGGCCCACGGCCTCCCCAGACACCTGCCGGGGGCCAAGCCCCGTGCCGAGCAGGACGAGGGCTCGAGACTGGCCGGCAGCGGAAGAGCGAGCTTCCTGCGGTGGGAGGCTCCCAGGCACTCTACCCGACACCCCGCGGGAACGGGGACCGGCCGAGCGCAGCCTCGGCTGCCCGCCTCCAGCCGAGTGGTTTGCGGCCTGAGCGCAGTTTTCTCGCCTCTGAAATGAGGATGTAACACTAGCCGACCCCCACTTCCCCCGCGCTCCACAGAGAGCCGTTGTCAGAACCACGGCCTGAGAGGGCTTCCCCGGCGCCGGGCCCCCGGGGGACCCTCCTCGGGGCTAACT